ATAAACAAAAAAATAACAAATAAGGGTAATACTATGAAATTAAAACATCAGATTAGATTATTTGGTCATAATAAGAATGGAAAACCTCAACTCATCCAAACAGGGTTGAAGTGCCTGTTGACTTCAGTGGATTTTTTTTGTATATAAATATGTTAAAAAAAAGTAATTTTAAAAGTTTATCTGAAAATATTAAACAACTTGGAAAGCTTATCTAGCAATCATGAATTAAGACCTAAGCTGCTGATTTGCCCCCAAAATAAAAACAAAAAAAAGCAACAAAAATAAAACAAAAAATAAAAAACAGCCTTTTCTTCATTCCCTCTCCCTTTTTACTGGTGTCAGGGACGACACAGCAATTCACAAATCAAAACAAGCATGTTCGTGAGTTGCACAAGTTGTTTGATCCTTCAATCTGGAATGTGGCGGTTTGGAAATCAGAATTTTGGACAAATTGTAGTTCAGAACAAAACAGATCAACAAGCCTAGTTGTGAATGTAAATAACTGCTAATAAGAGTGGTTAATAGTTAGAGGAAAATGTTTTTGCAATGTATTTTTATGAGTATGATTGTATTCTTTGTTCCATTCATTGTGGACAAATTAATATCATGATTTAATTTATATTTTTTCATGGTATGTTGTAATAAAGTGTGTTTACCACTGGGTTGGTGCTTTGGTCCTATAGGAAGCAGGGCTTTCACATGGTTGGATACCTTGAATTTGTTTGATGTGCCTAGGTATCTCTTAGTGTGCCCTTCTTAGTTACATTAAAGAATATCCAGCACATACAGGCAATCAATGGTCAAAAGTAAAAATGGAAAGTCCACTGCCAAGGACAGAAATGAGATTGAATATTACCAGGCTGTGACACACTTCAATGGTTCAAAGGGTGTCAGAAAAATAATTGATTTCAATTCTACAGTAATAAGTGTAACAGGGTCATTTTGTAATCACTCAGAAGGAGTACGAAATCTTGCAGGCTTTGTGATAAAGAGATACGGAATGCTTAGATTTTTTTTCATTTTTACCTTCTCCTGAGCTAGTTTCCAAGATTAAAGCAGAATAAAATAATGTATACAGTAACTGATCTAAAAGATCAGACTACTACAAAGTAATCTAGGTTTCATTAAGATATCTAGGGAAAATGTAATTTTTTATTTTTTTTTATAATAGTTACAACTTTTCATTTTTACCACAACATTTAACTATCCAACTTGCGGCAGTGTTAGTGAGAGACAGGAATACAATTGCATGATAAAAATTGCATCGTAAAAATAAGAAACAAGCTTTCCCCCGGCCCCTCCTTAGTCATTTTCAGTTGATGCATTTTTTGGGCTCTATCTTGACAGGTTTTAGTGGACACTGAGGCTATTGGCAATCTTTGCGTGGAATTTGTATGTCTCTACAAAAGATATTCATGATAGTAAATCTTTGCAGCCAGTGGGCAGTTTTACTGTGCATTTGAGTGTTTTAATAGGTGTAACTGAATACTAAATCCATTGGTGGTTTTACTAAATATTATTTCATACATTTGACACTAGTCTTAAATCTCACAACTGGTAGCTTGAACAAATTTGAGGTTTTCTGTAACATATCTTAAACTTAAATTATTACCAAATGTATCCACTGCTGTTTTTGCATACTTATAGTTTATGCATAGTTATACTAATTTTAAAACAAACAGCAGTTTTAGTAAAAACCTAAATACAAAAACAGGCTCTGGACAGGGATAAAATGGGAAAAACCTGTGTACGGATTTGTACCAACCATGTACTTGCACAATCATTCAAATTTGGTACGCTGTGCTCATGCTGCAGAGCAGGTTAGAGTGTGGTAGTGTGATATCAAACACACACACTCATTTAAATACATATTGATGGACCAGACCATCAACACATAATGAACTTCAGCCTGATGCATAATGGCCGTCATTGGCTAGGAGATTTATTGTAAGAAAAGGTTCTTTTAGATCAATGTATTAATAGTGCATAAACTACAATGCAAACTGATACAAAAAAATATGCAAAAAGAGTTTGGTATACCTCTCCAACATTTGCATTCTATAAAGCGGGAAGGTGGTGTCTGGGGTAAAATGGGGCATGTCAGGCTAAGTGCAAATCAAGCAGGCCTGCTACTACTAAGGGTGACCACGCAGAGAGTACTGTTTCAGTGCTCTGTGAATGGTCTTAGTGCCCCAAACCTATTTCAAGCTCATCTAATGATGCACTTGCAATACTCTTTTTGGAGACAGTTTCCAAATGTTTCCAAAGAGTAACCATGAAACCATGAAAAAAAGTTAGGACACCAGACAGGATTCTTTAATAGGGACTCTCTGAAAATGGAACAGTTGAGATGTCTGGTTGTGTTTTAAAAAAAATCATTAGGCATGAGATCAAAAACTCAGTAAAAAGCTGAATGGCACCCTAACATATTGGACCACACATAAATTGGTAGCCCAAATGTATACTTTTAAAGGTTTTGTGGAATAGAAAAATTAGAATGTCACCATTAGGTTGAGTACAATATGCATTTAAACTTGTGTTGTTGTCATTGGTTATATTTATAGACTTATTTGTTATCAGAGACAAAGACACTGACAATAATGTTTGAAACTCAAGAATAGTTCTGGAGAAACTGTCTGTCTTGTTCTCTTTATTTATTTTGTTAGTGTCAGAATGAATCCAGCGGTTTAGTGCAGATGAAAACAATATTTTAATGGTTATTGTAAGGCCTAAGGGTTTAACACTATCTTTTCAAACCAACACGAGTTCTAGGATTTGTAGATTGGTTTCCATTCTTTTATATTTTGAGCATAATGAGGAAGTTTCAAGCCCTGGTGATTTTATCCAATGAAAAGATTCCAAAGATAAAAATGTTTCTTTTTTACTATTCTTTTCAAGTCAAGTCCAAGTCAAAGTGGAGTATTCCTTTAATGAATTTTTGCAGGTGTTTATTAATCTTGTATAGTGGCATCCATGTTGTAAACCAGTATCCCTCTGACTTTCACAAATTAACAGATACAGTTGCTGGTTAGACTAGTTGTGTTATACTGTATTTAGAACATAATAGTACTAACCAGAACCCCCTGGAGACCCTTTAATAATACCTAAAAATTTCACATTGTACTCTAATGAAAGATCTCTATGTATGGGGATCTGATGTGTGCTCAACTATTTTCTTAACATTAGTAACAAATGTAAACATGAATGATATTACTACACTAGTAGCTATTGCCACTACTTGATTGACTACCTAGTGGTGGTGTTTAGAAAGTTAATATATAATTTAAGAATAGAAATCATCTCATGATTTGTTTGTCTATACAGGTAAGAGTCAATAATTATTACATCCATAAATATATATTAAAATATCATGAAAAGGTAAGTGCCAGAAGTAACTAATTTTAATTCATGGTTCCCTGGCAATTCGGACATGCCACTTCGCATTCATTTACTTGGCAAAAACCCAGTGCTACAGAAGCAAATCTCTGAGTTCAATATGTGAGTGAGATGAGTAGAACTGAAATTTTTTTCAACATTCTCATGAAAAATTTAAACACCGTATATGATTTAGAAGGATTTGTCTCTTTATTCTGGTCCCAATCAATGTGCTATTTCTGTTTTTTGCAGTTTTATCCAGTTGACCTGCTACTGAGTGATGTGAAATTTTTCTATAAATCCTGTACATACTGACATGCCATTTATTTAAATTGGGCTGTGATGAGTATAACTTGAAAGTAATCAAACATTCAGAACATTATTGTATCCATTGACCGTATATTTTGCTACAAGGGTTTGCTCTGGAAGTGTATAAATTATGGTTATCCCACAAGAGGCTGCATATCAGAGGTTACTCTGACATTAAAACAGGGTTTGCTGTGACAGCATTTAGCCTTTAAGCAATACTGTCTAACATCATACCTTTTGCTATTTCTTTCTGTATTTATGTGTTGCACATTGTAAACTGCGTAGTCTGGGTTTTTGCATAATCTGATGCATATGTATTGTAGATATATTTCTTCTGCTTTGTTCTCAAAGAAGCATACTTTTCTCTTTCTTTTACATGATGGAAACATCATATTTCATTCTTTTTATTGAAAGTATAAAAGAAAATGTTGTGATAAACGATATGCAGGTTAATAATACCAATGATAAACAATGTGGAACAAAACAGTGCTAAGTCAATAACACAAATTCTGAGTGCAAATTGAAAGGTACTCTTCTCATGCTAAAGTGGTATCTTCTAAAGGAGACCCTTGTAAGAAATAGGAAAGTTTTTTTTACTAACCCCAGAAGAACTATCCGGAGATTTGATTAAAGGGGAAATTCACATGCCAGGATTTTTAGTATGATATTTACAAATCCCTTATATTTTTAGCAAATATTTAATTTTGCGATGTACAAATAAAACTCAATGTGGAAATTCAAACTTCTTAACTGTGCAAATGAATGCCTTCATTTTTAGTTCTGTCAATCATGGTTAGAAGCCCTGTCGTTTGCTCCTGGCAACCGGCAAAGCACAAAGAAAAGACCAGAAATTAAACAATGTTTCTATTTCTCCTCTTTATTAACATAGTTTGCCTTGGCTTTAATTTGCCTGAATTAGATTATGATGTAATTTGCTTAAATCTTTAATAAAGGGGCGTAGCCTGAACGCCTATGAAAATGGCAGCCTAGCCGAGGAGCTCCGTCCCACACAGCTACCAAAAGCACACTAATCCGACCGCAAACAACGAAAATGGGTTGTACTAAATGCCCTGAGGGCACACAAATGCCACGGGGCAATCCCTGCAACTCCCAGACCGGTCCCATGGACGGATTCCTGCAGACGGCGGGAAGCTTGGCCAGCGAACCGGAAGGCCTGGGCCTGTAAATGGCGGCCTCACTTACCCGCCCATGGACCGCGGGGACCGGAGAACCTTCTCTGGTGGACATCAGCGCAGACATCTGGGTGCTGGCAACTTAGATGGTGACAAGGAAGGACCTCCAAGCCCTCTCTGACAATGAATCCTGCAATCCGCCTGGACGTGAACGCACTGCGCACCGATATAACAGCCCATGGCAGCAGACTACAGAACTTAGAGGCAGCAACGCACACCATGTCAGAGCAGGCGAAGACCTCCACCCTGGTAGTCACACGACAAGGTAACATGTTACTTGCCCTCAGACGCCAGACGGAGGACCTAGATAATAGGGGCCGTTGGTCCAACATCCGCATACGTGGGCTCCCTGAACCGCCTGCCAAGGGAGACGTAGAAGCTACCCTGACAGATCTCTTTCTTGACATACTGGGACCAGATATGCCAGACACCCTGACATTCGACAGAGTGCACAGGGCAAACAGGCCGTGCATGGCGGACAACACACCCAGGGATGTAATATACTGCCTACATCAATACAGACACAACGCTCACGTTGAAGGCCCACAGGGCCATGCGGCCTATCACAGCACTACTTTGAGATCAGGGCATCCTGTACAAATGGGGATTTCCTTTTGCCCTACTAGCAAGAAACCAGAATGAATGGGTTCCCCTGCCGTGGACAGAAGAAGTCCCAAGCTTCATGCAGCGCCTAGGCCTGCCACCCACAGACACCGTGGACTGGATACTAGGACCCCTCGAACAAAGACAAGGGCCCCAAACACTCAGACAACAGCAACGGCGCAGAGGAGACTCACCAAGAAGAAATACAGCCTGCAGACACCTTGACCCGGCTGCCCCAGAGGAGTAATGTTGGACTGCTGCCTGGCCGCCTGTCGAGTCCTGACCCTGCACCTGGTCCACCCTACCAAAGCTGCGGATTAGATAAGTAGAACCCTGACCCCATAACACCCAAAGGCCCAGATGCCGGGCACACAATTGAACCTCTGAACACCAGAGACTAATCACAAAGGGTGGACTGAGATCAAGGGGAGGCGTAGCATGTTGGGGTGGGAGGGAAGAGGGAGGGGGGATAATGCAGGACAAGGACACTGCTCACACTGGAGCAAGTTTGGTTAAAGGTTGACACTTGATATTAGCCCACTGATCTCACCATGGGAACGCATAAGGACACCCCTAGTGCCTGGCCCTCCAGTTACCTGGACAGCTACACATAAAGGCAAGACCCCCTATAACTACCCCGAGAAAACGGAACCCAGCTCAGGGTCTCGAGGACTGGGCCTAACCCCCATTGCTTGTGGATAACTGAATGGGGGACAGTTAATGGAATGTAATCTGGAAATGTTACTGACTAGACGGACTCTAACTTAAGCGGACCTTGCTAGCACAACCTGACAGAGACGAAGAGTTAGACAGCCGAGCAGACCGCAACAGCAGAATAGATGGGTAATGCTGGGGGACATGATGGACGATGTGGAGGGGATTGGGGGAAGAAGCGGGGATGACTGGAGGGAAGCCAGGGACAACGACACAGATGATCAAGATGACCGGCATTGCCCGGGTCTATGTGGCTCCCTCCCCTAATGCCTAAGCAAAAGAGAGCACAAACAGTGCCAGGTGACTACCCTGTGCCACACAACCCCACTACCCGAACACAACATGCCAGGTTACATCATCAGTACCACTGCGACCCCGCCAACAACCACGATGCCCAACCACCCAGGCGAGACCAATAGCCAAGCCCAAACCGAAACAACACAAGACCTGACGACGACAATGACCTAGTGTACATTCTCAACCCTGACACAAGTGGGACTGGTATACCACGGCAGCTGACATACAAAACCCTACATTACCCTAACACACATCCTGCCATCACCTAGTGGTGAGCAGACCTTGCCGACAGGCCACAGCTCCAAACAGATTCTGTGTACACAATGACTACTGGGAGGACCACTGCCATTGCTGCCCGAGACTTCCCTAGGAGGCGGTTTGGCTTTGACACCCATCCCAGTTACACAGGACCCCCCCTCTTCTTTTTTTTTAATTATTTTCTCTCTCCTTACCCAGAGACACCCCTCTTGGACCCAATCACCACAGCCATATTAGATAACCTGGTGGGAGGACCGAGGACCCTAGCTCCTAACCCGGGTTGCTCGGCTGCTGGGAGACTCCATAACACCCTCAGGCCGTCACTACCTGTACCACATACCTGCCCAACCAGACAGAGGCTCCCCCGGCTGTCACCCATCGTAATCCGGTGGGCCACGGCTGGAAGACCCAGCCTTCCATACCCCCCCACTTGAACATCGCAGCATCACAACATTAGGGACGCGCGTAGACTCCCTGACACCTACCGAACACCACCCCACACTAAATAGGATAGAACCGCACTACCCGCACCCACACAATGGCATAAATGGCAGACCCCTTTCTCATCATCACACAAAACTGCAGAGGCCTGAACACACCAGAAAAAATGCTAACACTTCCTACAGAAATGAGGCAATGGGAGGACCTGACAGAAAGGACCTTTACTGATGCGCAATGGGAGCAGATCCTCATCATGCAACACAAAAGTTCGATCAGCACCAGATACCAGGAAATCAACTTCAAGCTGATCTACCAAAGGTACCGCACGTATTCACTACTACACCGAATATTCCCAGAGATCCCAGACACCTGCTGGAGATGCGAAACACAGACGGGCACCATTAGCCACATCTGGTGGTACTGCGATAAGATCAAACCGTAATGGGAGGAGATCAAGCAAGAACTCTCCAAGGTCCTAGACGAACCCTCCGATCTCACCATTGAAACCACACTACTCCACTTCACGGACCGATCGGTCGCCCAATATAAGAAAATCTATCCTAAAACACCTACTCAATGCGGCTAAATCAATGATCCCTGCCATGTGGAAACAAACTCAGCCCCCAACCAAGACACAATGGCTACAGAGAGTGGAGGAGATCCACATGGCGGAGGCAAAGTACACAGACTTGCTGGGATGAAGCGACAAACATACAGAACTATGGAGATTATGGTATATTTACCTAACACTTACACAGACAGGCATGGGAGGGAGCACAACACAGGAAGCAGCAGTGGACAAGCACGCAACGCAACCTCCTCAGTAAAATAACCCCCCCTCATGACCGTCCCCCGTCACGCACCCCACATCCTAACCCGGTGCCCGCAGGACCCGACCTGGGGCCCACCCCCCCGGGGGAAAAAATAAGACGTGAACTCCATTCGCCTCAGTCTGACACACCAGAGGTGGGGGTTGTGGGAGGAGATGGCAAGTGGAGCAACACCATGGGGAATTCAGAATGCCCACCAGCCCACTCGCCACTCGGAAAGACAGATGGCCTTGCACGGAATGAAGGGCAGCAAGACACAGATGTGAGATATACAATGCATTAACACACATTACCCCAGCTGGAAACACCCCGAAGTAGGACCCCATATGGCCGCACAATAAACTACACAACACAGACGTACCATGCACCTAGAACACTAAGAGCTGAGACACTCTAGGACTGTCACATACCTAACACACAGTTAGGGAATTACCTGATGAAACTCGCGAGACCCAACCCCAAGAAATTATGTAGTTATGGCTGACAGAAAAACCAAGGAGACCCCACTAGGGAAAACATAACGAAAGCAGAGACATTGCCACTCCAACACAGCACACCACCATTAGACAACGGCAGATGAGTAACCCTCAAACGGACTGGAGGGAAATTCATACATAAGCTCGTGGTAGCCAAGCGCCACTGGTTGGCAGACACACAACCCGATGTCCTAGGACCTACTGCCTATACTGACAGACTCCAACGATGGCCCACACCAACACAGGAAACACACCAACCTATCCCAACTCAACTAAAGAGCTCATACAACCTATCTAGGGTAAAGAGCTGGAATAATCACAGAGACGATAAAGATAACCATAGATGTGCTACCACTACCACTGACAAAACTGCCTAACCATGACTACTAAAGGTGGGAATAAAAGCATACCAAGATAATAAAAGTACAACAGATGTACTTGATACGCGAAATGCACAACATGATGGTTAAATGTGTCGAATGACGTTATACTTCCCGCATCTCCACTTTTTTCTTCTGTACCCTATACCTTTTGATCTCTAATAAAAAAGACGTATTTTAAAAAAAATATCTTTAATACAAATTTATAAGAAAATTTAACATCGTATGAAAAAGGGTTACGCAATTAATTGATTTTCAATATTTTATTCAATGGTGTAAATTCTAGAGAAGTGCAATTCCCCTTCTAGACCTTTAGTTTTACTTAAACTAGGCAGCTATGAGTTAAAATGTATACTAACTCATCTAGTAAACCAGTGTCTTCTATCCTAAGTTCCAGTTCTAAAGTATAAACCTATCATTTTTAAATGTAATTATTGAAATCCAAAACTGTAATTTTGGTCTGGTGTTATAAATGTATCTCTATGCGCCCATGTTTTTTGTGTTCTATACATTTAATAATGGCTCAATCTATTTCTAATTAAAGCTGAGAGCTGTAAAGCACTATAATACTTGAACATTGATCTGACCACAATTTAATTTATACAAAGAGGATTGTGGAGTTGATGATCCATTAAAGAAACCCGACAGGCTAATAAATGACGATTAAAAAAAACAAACAAACAAAAAACAAAACAAAAAAACAATTATACTGTAATTAAAGACTTGTCCTTTTTTAAAATACCACTGTCTTCTTTGTTGCTGATTAGGGTATTTTTCCATAGATTTTGTTTGGTATAAATTAAAAACTTAATTATATTAAAAAGTCCATTTACAAAGACTTGGCTGGAGGAGTAATTAAAACACAGACTTGCTTAACCTGAAAAGGTCATTAAATTAAAGATGTGTTTGGAAAAGCAATTCTCCGAGGGGAAAAAGACTGATAATGCAATTGAAGAGTACTGTACTGGAAATTAGTGGTGATGTTGACTACCCTCTGGAACATATGTAAATATTATTTAATTAGTTAGATTTGTTTAAAATATAATAGCCACCCTGGTAAAGGGTACACTATATAATGATAGCAATTATAATAATAATATTAATTTTAGTTATTTTCCTTCATTTTGTGCTCCCCTCCTAACCGAGATAAAAGAACCAATCTTCTCATTGTACATAGGTAGATATATGATTTAATACTAATTATCTAATGTTAATAGATATATATTTCACTTTGAATATTATTTTGTAGTGTAGATAACTATTGTAAGTACAGTTGTTATGTTTAATGCATTGTAGCAAAAACAGAGAATATGCCAGCAAGTTCTCTCTGCACGAGAGATACAGCAACCCCAGACGATCGCTATGGCCTTTTTTGTACCTTGTCAGTGAGGTTTAGCTGATAACGTCCCTGGGCACAGTGTCCACATCTGGATTACCCTTTTGAATGTTATGTTTAATGCACATGGATACCATTGGATTGCTAAAACAGAGCTAACATTTTGAGTGAGAATATGAGGGGTCATATTATGAGGTCATGTTTTAGAGGGGTTGTGATTTTGCAGAGGGCTGGGAAGAGGACATGCAGTCAAGGTAACAAGAGCAAAGAAATGTTTATTTTAGGGAATTTCTTCGTTTATTGGGTG